TCAGGGCATTTAGGAGTTCCCCGTATTTTAGAGTTGTTGCGAAACCGGGTATATTGGCCGAATATGGAGGGAGACATTAGAGTCTGGGTGCAGTCGTGTGAGAGGTGCTGCTTGCGTAAGACACCCCCACCTAACAACAAGAGCCCTCTTGTCAGCATCTCGACGAAAGCACCCCTGGAGCTAGTCGCTATGGATTACCTGAAAGTTGATAAAGCCTCTAGCGGTCATCAGTACATCTTAGTAATAACGGACCATTTCACCAAATTCACTGTTTCGGTACCAACTAGAGACCAGACGGCCGAAACTACTGCGAAGGCATTATGGTCAAAATTCATAATGCCATATGGTTTCCCGCAAAGGCTTCATTCAGACCAGGGTGCGAACTTTCTATCGGCGACAATTCAGGGTCTTTGTAGGCTGTATGGAGGTGGGAAAAGCCGTACCACTCCGCATCATCCGGCTGGGAACGGACAGTGTGAAAGGTTCAATCGGACGCTACTAGATATGCTAGGTACAATGACAAAAGATCAAAAGCGTCGCTGGCCAGAATATCTACCAGAGCTTGTCCATGGCTACAACAATACCCAGCACTCTACCACCGGGTATTCCCCCTATTTCATGATGTTTGGCAGGCAGGCTAGGTTACCACTCGATCTAACCCTAGGTTTAACTCCAGAAGAAGAAGAAGACTCAGGTCAAAATGTATCACCGGATGAGTGGGTAGAAAATCACCACAAACGGTACAAGTATGCCTATGAGATAGCAACTAAGAACTCTGAGTCGGCCAAGGCAGGTCAGAAGCGTTTGTACGATCGTACAGCGCGGACTGCTCCTCTGTTACCAGGGGAACGGGTCTTAATCCGTAATAAGAGAATCAGGGGTCCCAGTAAGTTGAAAGATCAGTGGGAGCAAATACCCCACGTGGTAGACAGACAACCGAACGCAGAGATCCCAGTTTATGTTGTGACTCCGGAGAGGGGAGGTGGTCCCAGTAGAACCCTACACAGGGATATGTTAACTCCGTGTATGTTCGCGCCTCGCCCTGGCAACGCAAGGCGGCCACGTGCCGAACAAAGGGACGGGCGCGCAGAGGGGCGTGAGCCAGAAGAAAGTGAAAGTGATAGTGATAGTGAAGGGCGTGAGGATGGCCCACCCATTGTTGTTGTACAAACGCCTGTAGCGCCTCCAGAGGGCGATGACGGTCCGGACGACCCTAGGTATCCGGTTAGGGAGAACAGAGGAGTACCTCCTATCCGTTATGCTGAAGTTTTCAGACAGGCAAATGTGGAAAAACCGAAGGCATGGCTTAAGTCGGTGCCACAACGCGCCAGTGGGTTTTTCAAGAGTCTTTCAACTTCAATAGGGAAGGAGTAATGAATAATGTATTTTCGGCTATTGAAATGTGCAGCCATCTTGGGGTTAGTAGTTAGTCGGGGGTAGTTATACTAAGTGTTGTGTTTTCCTTGGAAACCCAAACCTCGGGGGTCGGGCCTCGGCCTGACGGGAACTCATCTCACTTTTAGCTAGATAAGGTGGTTGCACTTTCCCAAATTTGACATGATCACATCAGTATACATATATATATATTTAGTGTACCTTTAGTTAACTGTATTTTATGATATTGTGCTCGTAGGGTCGAGGCAAAGAGTTCTGGTCAGTCGAGTTCGTGACCCTCTGGGTCGTCGGAATAAATGTCGCTTGTTGGAGAATAGGGTGTTGAGTCAGAGTTCTGTGGGAGTTTGTTCTCCCGTACGTTGAAATTATAGTTATATATAAGTTATGGCGGTCAGGCTTGGTGTGTGTGTTTGTGTGTTCTCTTCCCCAATTCCTGCACAGGTCCACGTGGGACATCGAAGCTTGGCGATGGAGAGGGCACTTACCGCCGCGCCATCCGATCCCGGAAGAACGGCCCGTCCGAGTCATCACCCTAACGGGGACCCCTGAAGCGACGCCATCTTTGCCGGACACCCTTCGACTAAGGACCGGTGAGGGCTACCGCAACTGAGGGGCGACTGCGGCCGGACGTTCGTGCCCCTTGCAGCGACACGGAGGAGGGGAGGAGCACAGCTTGGAACCACCACTTGGTAAGCAGCCTCGACGCGCCCTGAGAGACGAAGCTGAGGGACGAGAGACGATCTCTAGAGAGGAGAAGAGAGCTGCGACGATCAAGTGACGACGGAGAACGTCGACGTGAAGCGACGTTAAACTGCGAACTCTATTGCTATGTGAACTCTGTAGTCTGCACTATACGCCGGTTTATACAGATGTCCAGTTGTAAGGACCCATCATTATACAGTTTTTTTTCTCTCGTTTATATATAGTAGTAATAGAGTAGTTAGAAAGGAAAAGTTGAAAATCCGTACGTATTCGCTCTCGCCGAGGACGGCTCATTATTAAACAAGGGGAGGATGTAGGAATGGGAAGATGTCGTATTTTATCTGTAACTCGTATTTCCATTCTTGCAATGTGTTTCACCTTGTTCTGCTTTTTATCGCCCGTTACGCTCTGTAATTAGTATGACAACCCTTACGCATATTCATAGATGTGTAATCAAGAACTCTTTATCATAGACGTGCGAACTTGTACTACAAAAGGATTGTTGTCTTTGAAGATCGTTTGAAGTGCGGGATATCAAAACAAATGATTATATGACAGTAGGATAGTAGACGATATCTTGGTGTGTCTGTCTAGACTCTGGCAGACAGTAGCTTTTCACTTAGGTGCTACCTGTGTCTGGAAGAAATGAATAAAGGTAAAGCCGTGGGACTGTGGAAAGGACAGACAGTTGTTCGACGGATACTGAGAGGCGAGGGTCGGCAATTGAGAGTCCCAGTCCCCGGCGATGATTGTACGGCAAAGCTCTGTCTCCTGTGTCCGTTACTTCTTCGTAGAGTCTCTCTAGGCAACATCCTAAAAGAACCCGGGGTTTAAATACACCATCAGGCCCCGCTCACACATATATGTCTCAATGAGCATAGGTCACAATGCGCACACATCCCCAATGTACATGTGGCCTTGTGCCTGTCATGACCATTGTGTTAGGACATCTCAGTGTATACCCCATGCACTGGTGCAGTAGCTGCTTTCCTAGTTGTGGGTCACATCTTGTGCAAATTTTGGCAGTGAATGGAAGGCTTGGTGCCACTACACCCTGTCTTGTAAATCACCCATTCCTAATGCTCTTGTGCAGTTTGTACCTCAACTCAATCTTCTGCAACTTCCAACAACCATGGTTTCATGCACTGCTGTGCATACTGAGCATCACCCCTTTCTGTTAACTTTCATCCACCTGCTATGCAAATGATGCTCCTTATGGCTAGTCACCTGTGTTGAGGTATTTGGTAATCTCCATGCTCCTCTGCAACTGTCATGTAAATTATTCTTGTTTTTACAGTTCTTCACCTTTGAGAGATACAAGGCCCTCTTCTCTTTTGGGTCCCCCACTCCATCAGCTATGGTAAGTATGATGAAATTATTCCAGAGTTTTATGTTTACATGTATCTTGCCATTATCTCTTCAAAGCGTGATTTAAAGTAAGAAAATTTTAGGCTGTCTGTCTTAACATACTCGTGAAAGGTACACGTCACTTAAGTACTATAAATATTATTTTTGACCGGAAGTCTAAATTTGCATTCTTGAGAACATTGACACAGCTCGTTGTTTACTCTTCAAATACTTACACAGTTCTCCCCATATTTATCAGAATTCTGACAATGAAGGTGGTTGGA